AGTGGTTCAGAGATTAACCGTTCACGCGCAAGACCGAAAATTCTGGGTCCGAATCCCGACAGTAGTAGGAGTCGTGGATGCGCACTGTCACCGATGAGTAATATCCTACCAGGATTAAACGGGCGTCTTTCAGGGCTTCCAGGTTTCTAATGGTTTCAACGTGTAAATACATCTATCTCCTTAGTACTGTAATGCAATATCAAAATATAAGAATTATGACCATTAAAAATTGATTAAATTTTTTGTGTTTATAATAGTTCCCAGAGTCAGATTGATTTGAATCAGTTACAGAAAGATTAAGGTCCATACGAGATTGATCACTAGTTGTTATTCCAAGAGCGAAGATCCTGGGCACCAAATCCTGCTCAGTATCAGGAGTCGTGGATGCGCACTGCTGATAAGTGATCCCATACTAGGACAAAACAGTCGTCTTTTTAATAATTCCAGGTTTCTAATGGCGGTCTAACATTGATCGATTCATGATTTCAATATTACTGAAAGCCGAACATTCTTTCATCTTATGAAGAGACTGATTTCATCATAACTTCGTGTAGAAGAAAAATGTCGTGCAGTTCAGTATGTAATATATATATATATATATATATATATATATATATATATATATATATATATATCCCACTCCTGACACCAAGCTTATTGATCAGTAGGCGAAGTATTGAAATATCATCAGTTGAGGTGGTTAGGAAACGTGTTACGAATGCCTAAAGACCGACCGCCTTGACGATCTTTGTTTTGTGGTGTGGGAGTAGATTGGAAGAAATCTAGGGGCGGCCAAACCAAAACATGGCGGAAATGCATGAAATCACTGACAAGTGGACTGAGTCATGTTGGTAGATCTAGGCTACCTGATTGGAGTCCACAAGACGATAGAAACCAATGGTTAGAGACCTTGAATGACATGGCTCAGAATCGTTTGCAATGGCGCAGGTGCATCTACTCGTTGTGTTCTCTAAAATTCTAATTTTCTGGATTCGTCAACACCTTGACTTTTGTTTTTCTAATCTTATCTGACTAAATTATACTTCTTGAATAATATCTTCGTACCCTAATCTTCTCCATTACTGCTAATGCTTCTACTATCGCTATCACTCTTGAATTTGAAGTGACAGTTGCGTCTATGTGTGCTAATGTGGTATGGCAACCTGAACTGATGTACTTACGTACGAAGTTCTACGTTGCATTTGACTGATATATATATATATACGTTTTGCAGTCCGTCCACTTGTTTCTTATTGATTATGGACATGATAATGACCTTCAACATGTCACATTACTCACACATGTTTATATGAATTAAATGTCGTTACAAATCATCCAACTTTCTATCCTAATTTATTCTAGTTATTACATACATTTGAATCATTCATATTAGCTATACACTTTCTTATAGTAAGTATAACATGGTATAACATGGTCAAACTGATTTTTCTCGAACATAGAAAAAAAAGTAACACTTAGGCTAAACAAACACTTGTCGAATTCAAGTTCACACATCTATAAAAACTAATATGAAATGTGCATTACGGGGTTGTGAAAATTGTTGAGTTACACATTTTTGAAACCATGAATCGATCAATGTTAGACCACCTTCAGAAACCCGGAAGCACTGGACGGCCATCTCGTCCTGGTATGGGACTCCTCAACAGTGCGCATCCATGATTGCTGCCCCTCGCGGGATTCGAACCCAGGATCTTCGGTATTGTGCGCAAACGCCTAACCATCGGACCACTGAGCCGGTACCTAACGGTGTTAATGTCTAACTTGATCAATTCACCGTCCTGGGTTCGAATCCCGCGGCGTGCAGTAGTCACGGATGCGCACTGCTGAGCAGTCCCATACCAGGAAGAAACGGCCGTCTTTCAGTGCTTCCAGGTTTCTAATGGTGGTCTAATATTGATCGATTCATGGTTTCCATAATATGCAATGTATACCTAGACTATTGATTACCTGCTAGTGAATGATGATTCGAATTTATTGATTGACCCCGGATATTTTAAAAATGATAATCAAATGAATTATTCATTTCGTTTTTATTTTACATACTCTTATTTCCTTCCTTCATGGCACTCAGAAGCAGATAGAATTTATTTTGGAGTTACAACAAAACAGTTAGATTCGTGACAATAATGAGTGTTTAACTCAGTCACAATCCTTGACATGTTGGTTGTGTTTTAAGTCATTATTACAAAAGAATAGTTATGAAGTATGATGAAGATGTTTGGCATTTTCTTGAAATCATGAACATGAGAAACTGGAAGCATTGGAAGGCCGTTTCGTTCAATTATGACGTTCATCAGTAGTGCGCGTCCATTAACCCACTCGTAAGATTTAAACCCAGTATCTTCGAGCTCGCGCGCGAACAATTAACCTCTTGATTACCACGGCGCGTCATCTTGCGGTGTCATTGTCCAACTTTAATCAGTACATGATATTACGCAACCATCTAACATTGTTACAGACCCTGTTCAACTTCGTTGGTCGCGCGGCTTCGCACTGGAACTCCGAGAATTCATTTCACAAAACTAGTCAATGGTGAGAACATATGATAATTACCAGTATGTGGTTATGAGTTTCATTAAAGTCATGAATCTGTACTTCTGAGGATTCCCATACTAGGTCCACGTGGCCATCCAGTGCTTCAATGGCGGTCCAACATCGATCGGTTCATGATTTCAATCAATGAAACTCAACAATTGTCACAGCTCTACACTGACACCGTAAGCAGAATGTCAGCTGATCATATAAAAAAGGGATTATTTCGTATTTAAGTGCGTTTTCTTTTCAACATTGAGTCTTGTAGTGTGTATGTGCGTGTGTGTGCATACTTACTTCGCTTATCGCATGTCTGATCATATAAATTGAATCATGTTTCATAGTATGGATTCGGCTCATTAGCCTTCTCCACTTTGATTCGCTTTGCTTTCAAGCTATGTATTCTCCTTTCTGTCTGCCCAACTGATTACCTGAAATAAATTCATCCAACCGAATCCATATTCGACTAGGAGAAAGCATTTGATAGGATAAACAGGATGATACTTTGGAAGCTTCTTTAATACTACAGCGTCCCTGAGAAGATGGTCAACATCATAGGGAACTCTTACGATGGATTAAACCGCAAAATCGTGTTCGGAGGACAGTTAATAGATACGTTCCAAGTGAAGACCAGTGTCAGACAAGGTGGTTTACTCTAACCCTTTTTCTTTATGAACACGTTAACTTGTGAGTGGAAGCACTTAATACAATGGAGAGCTTGGATGCAGCCGGACAATCTGAACTTCACTAATGATCTAGTTCATCTATCCCATTCACAACGACAAACACAGATGAAGTCGGCAAGTGTAGCCTCAGGCTTGACAGCTGTAGGTCTCAGCATACTCAAGAGAAAAAGCGAAACGCTCTCAAATAACACAGCGTGAATCAACCAAATCACACTCAGTGGAAAAGCTCTGGAAGAGATGGGAACCTTCATGCACCTGGTCAGCAAAAATTAATTTAACGAAAATTACAGAGTTACTCAGTAAAATCGGAAAACCATATCGTAAATCGTTCATTTGCAAAATATCAGTTCATCATATCGAACTGGACTGTTCTTGTTGCAAAACATCAATCCATTGTCACTATTCATGCCTTTCATACAAAAATTCCATTGTGTTCTAACTCTTCCTTTCTTGATCTTCGCCCCGCATCTTCTACTGCCAGACATTACGTTGACACTCACGTCATATACTACTTATAAGTAGCTCGCACCACATTATGACAATCAGAAGACACGGATTGGTAAAGCAAGGGCAGCATCTGGACATATGTAACTCAAAACAAGTGTCGACCAACAAGAAAGACATGATTTTCGATACAAAAGACAGTTCTATTACATAAAGCAGAAAGCAGATCCGTTGGCCAGACAAAATTCGCAACAACTGACTGTAGGAGCAAACAAACCAGATTCCTTCAGCTGATGAAGAAATTCGAAAAATGCTCTGGAGGTGGATAGGACACATAGTTTGAAAAGCACGCAACTGCGTTGCAAGAGAAGCCCAAACTTGGAATTCTGAAGGCCAAAAAAAAAGAGGAAGACCAAAATACATATTACGCCAAGAAATGGAGACAGACATGAAAAGAATGAACAACAATTGGATAGAACTAGAAAGGAAAGTTCCAGAACAGATTAAGATGAAGAATGCTGTTGGGCAGCCTATGCTCTGCTACTAGGGAGTAACAGGAGTAAGTAAGTAAGTAAGTAAGTAAGTAAGTAAGTAAATATAAAAGCTGTGAAAGAGAGATGGAAAGAAAGTACAACAAGGGCACTAAACACTAATCTTAACCTTAGTCTCCATTAGAAGCATTTCCCACTCTGGAGAAATTGTTCGACAGCTAAGTTGTACAGTGTGTTTTAAGATCATAAAGGCTACCATTGTAACTAATGTAACCAGGAGAGTATGCACGTACATCAATCATATAGGTTCTATCGGGACTCTTTACCTATCCGTGAACAATAGAATTGTATAATCACACTATCAGTAGACAGAAGGAAGATGCCAAGTGTGAAATATCATCATCAATCCTTCCTACTTCATTACTAAGTTACATAAAGAATCGAGATAAATTGGCTGTGCAACAGTTAATTACAACAAATAACAAAGGTTTAGTTATTTAACGCTGCTGCCTAATTATTTAGAAACCAATAGATTAAAATGACGACACATAAGTCAGATAATAGTAAGTAGTATTTATATTGTGTGTAAGTAAAATATTATCATTGAACAAAGTAGTATAATAAATTCTTTCCAAAAAAAAAATAATATTTAAATACAAGTTGCTTAGTAGAGAGAGAGAGTTTAAAACTGAGATAGACAGTCTGTGGAATGCAATCGAACGTAGAACCCGGGATAGAGAGAGAGAGAGAGAGACAGAGTAACTTACAGAGAATAACGATGAAGATGATGACGATGATGATGCTGGTGGTTGGTTGATTGTTGTATTCATTCAACTACTGGTTCCAAACGATTTCTATGAATACAAGGTGATATAATTAAATTAAGAATAGCAACTTGCGCTGCAAACACTATACCAACTGTACATATTGATCGTGAAAATTGACGATCAAATTGAAAATAGTATATAAGAATCGCTGAAATAATACACGATAGACCAGATAATAATATAACTATTCGTACAGTGAAATATGATGAATTCAGATCAAGGGATTCAGAACAAATTGTTATGAAATCAAATAGAAATGCAATCGTTAATAGCGTTGTACCAAGAATAAAAAATATAATCAATAATATGGAAATTGTTCGATAGTGTTGTAAACATGATTCAAATAATCCACCACAATTCCATTGATTTATTGCTAATGCCAAAATAATAAATCCAATACTGAAAGGTTGAAGAATCAACGATAGAGTTTTAATCATTTTCGGATTTTTTTTCTCAAGGCAAATTGTACTAAATCGGTTTTCTCCCGTAGACAAGTGGCATAGATGAAATTATTATCATTGTCTCATTTTTGGCAGACACATTGAAATGATTCGGTCAATAAGAATGATTTGTATTTTGATTGGTCAATTGCAGCAGTGTGTGAATAACCTTGGGTATGTTTGCCTTTCTTGAATCGTGATAAGACAAGTCACATATTCCAGACGTTGTTTATTGGTTAATAATAATAATAATTAATATTCAATTGTCAAGTTTCAATAATACTGAACACTGAATGCGTCATGAGTTTTGTTTTGTTTTGTTTTTGTAGGCTAAGGGATTGGTTCCCGATACATTTTGTGGAGGAATTGTATTTCGTTAATTTTGTTCTTAATAGTTATGTGGTGCTGTGGTGCGAACTACTTATAAGTAGTATATAACGTGAGTGTCAACGTAATGTCTGGCAGCAGAAGATGGAGGGGAAGATCAAGAAAGGAAGAGTTAGAACACAACGGAATTTTTGTTTGAAACGCATGAATAGTGACAATGGATTGATGTTTGGCAACAGGAACAGTCCAGTTCCATAGGATGAACTGATCTTTTGCAAATGAACAATTTACGATATGGTTTTCCAATTTTACTGAGTAACTCTGTAATTTTCGTTAAATACAATTCGGTTGCCCCCACCTGTGTTCTCATTCACTACAGTTATATAGCTGTAATATGAATGGACCATTTTCTAAATAATTCGGCTTCTTAGCGCTTCATTTTCATCCTAGAATATTCGTATATTTAAACAATACGTATTCAGATTACCTAGTACATAAATATCATTTATAGTTCTTCTGTACTAGTTACTCTCCCCTCCTGAATCTTCGATGATAAGACTTACTTACTTACTTACTTATGTCTGTTACCCCCAAATGGAGCATAGACCGCCCACCAGTTTTCTCAAAACATCTCTGTTCTGGGATTCCCTTTTCAGTTCTGTCCAGTTTTTGTTCATTCTTCTCATGTCTTTCTCTATTTCTCAATGGTAAGAACTTTTCCGATATTAAGTATGTAAGCTGCATTTTTCAAATACTGAATACTATTGTGCTTGAGTTGTAAACAGTTGATGAGATATCGTGCTATAATATAATGAATTCGTATTATTCTGCTATGTTAACTTGGTTTTCTGTTAGTCAAATTTTTTTTCTAAATTGGAAAAACTGTATGAAATCATATTTTAAATAGGTCAGACATTTCTGGAATTCGATGCCAATGGTTTTTAATGGCTGCGTTACACTCTGATATTTATTAACAATTATAGGTGCTGTTTGAAATAGATCACTCTTCCAGTCATAATTAGACGAACCCCGTTTTTTGCGACGATGATAATAAGAAGTCAAATGCGATTTCGGTTGGATGAATTAATTTTAGGCAGAGCGAAGGGGAGATGGTGAACGAGCCAACTTCACTTCGCTTCGCATTGCTTGTACGCTTTTCGTCCTCATAAGATAATTGTTTGTAAGTCCTATTCTATTGATCAATTCCTACTGGTCAATATGATGGTCATCCTAGCTATCAATGTCCCATACTTGAATGTTGTTCCCTATTCGACCTAACTATATAAATACGCATTATCTGTAACGTTTTATGACTCAGACCTGGACCAGAATCCCTAGTCCAGGATCCTGATTCTCTTCTGGACCTCGACTTTCTGGATGCTTGTAGAATACAGGTTCTATTTCATATCAACTCTTCTTCTTTTACTCAGTGGGGGTTTTGGGACAATCGGATTAGAGTATCATGTCGTGTCGCCGGATCCTCGATCCTCGCTATCGTTTTTCGACTAAAGTAAACTCGTAATAGTTCAAGCATATCAAACTGACGTGTTGACGTTCATACGTAACATCTTCTCATTACCACTGTCGTATAAACGAGGTTCACTTAAGTATAATATTCGGACACTGAAGCAGAGATTTATTTCATAGCATACTCGAATATCATGAATAAAGGAGTCAACTCACGGGTCACTCAGGTAGAGAACCCTACATCGAATCTAAACAGCTGAAATAGTAATTTTGAATTACAATTATGGAGATGAATGTTTTTACACATTAAAAATCATCAATCAATCATTGATGGACCATCATTAGAAACCTGGAAGTACTGAAAGACGCCCATTTCGTCCTGGTATAGGACTCATCAGCAGTACGCATCCAAGAATCCTGCACCTCACAGGATTCGAACCCAGGACATTCGGTCTTGCGCGCGAACACCTAGCCCTTGGACCATTGGTCCGGCATCCAACGGTGTTAATGTCTAACTCTGACTGACCTAGGGATTTTGCGCGACCTAACCTAGCATTTTCTTCGGTAGTTACTGCCTACACCCGACAGTGTTGAACCCACTTGGATGCTGACTCTGAGGTCCAGAGGTTGGGCGTTCGAGCACAAGACCAAATGTCTTGGGTCCGAATCTCGCGAGGTGCTGAAATCGTGGATTCGCACTGCTCATCAGCAGTCCCATACAAGGACGAAACAGGCGTATATCAGTGCTTCCATGTTTCTAATGGTAGTCTAACAATGATTGATTGATTGATTGATGATTTCAAATGTGTAAAATACTACTGTCTACCAGTAGTATATTTATGCATGAATCATTTCATTAGAATATTGTGTATTTTTCTTCAACGGGACCATTAATTAATTAATAAAAGTTGTAGGTTGATGTTTAACAAGATTATGTGACTAAGAGTATTTTCTGAAAGAATTCAAACTGTACAAAAATGTATTCACATTATCATATATATATATTTATAATGGCTTGTTATATAAGCTGAGTAATGTAACCAAAAATTATCATGCTCTATGGAAGTAAGGTTTCCGCTTTTACTGAAAGACCTTATTGTGCTTTCTAAAATTAGTGACAAAAAGGTAAAGGTGAACTGTTTCTACTGATTTGTGCTTTTAAAACATTTTCAGTAGAATTTTCTCTTTAGATAACTAGATATTATTAAGTAAGTACGTTAGTTTGAGATTTAAATGTTAATATGTGCTAAGTGTTATGATAGACTTATTGTTTAACAGATATCCTTGTAAGAATGGTCAACTAAGAACTTTTGTGAAGAATTTCATATTTGTTAAGTAGTGTTTTTGGAGCTGAACCAATTTCTTTTGACCAATGTGGCTACTATTCTAAGTGATACGACATTGGATGGAGATAGTCAATAGGAAACTCTGAACCTAGGGTTTTGTGCTGTTTAAGACTCATCTACAGGATGATCTGTTATGGCAAACGATATCACATCATTAAGACTATACTGGTCTCACTATAACTTGATCAGTCGAAATCGATCAGCATGATTAGAATAGGTGGATTATAGGGGGGCCAGCAACGGAATCCATAATTCGTGTTTCGTCAATTAGATGTACCTACATTCACAACCGTGACTTGATTTTCACTCTGTCAGTACTCAAACTCAGTACTTTACACTTCAAATGATATCGTGTTATCCACTTAACTACAGAGTCCAGAGAGCCACTAGCTTGTGTGCTATGGGGTTGAAGAATAATTCATTTGTATTGGTTGTTTGAATCTTCTCATTGGTAGTTTGGATTGCGAATAATCGGTTTCTTTGACATATATGTTAAATACATTATCGAGGCAATCCTCATAGGATGCATATACTCCAAAAAGACTGATCAATTGCAGTCCTATACACATCAATGAGAAGATTCAAACAACCAATACGAATGAATTATCACAAATAGATTTTGTGTTATATATGACTATACTACTTATTAGTAATTAGGATTCATCTTATTTTTTTCTTGTATTCTATTGTTTGAATAACTTTAACTTCAATCGATCGCAACACCAGTTGAAGCTGTCATACATAACATATTGACACAGAAAGAGATGAAATGGTCACAGATAGAAGATATGATTTGAGAAAATAAAAACCTCTGAAATAAGTTTTAAAAGAAACTTACTTACTTACGCCTGTTACTCCCAATGGAGCATAGGCTGCTCACCAGTTTTCTCCAACCAACTCTCTCCTGTGCTTCCCTTTCCAGTTCTGTCCAATTTTAGTTCATTCCTCTCATATCTTCCTCTATTTCTCGGCGTTATGTGTTCCTTGGACTTTCTCTTTCCCTTTTGCCTTGAGGGTTCCATGTGGGGGCTTGTCTCGTGACGCAGTTAGGTGCTTTTCGTAGTATGTGTCCTATCCACTTCCACCACTTCTTCCTGATTTCCTCCTCCACTGGAATCTGATTTGTTCTCTCCCACAGTAAGTTGTTACTGATGGTGTCTGGCCAACGAATCCGAAGTATTTTGCGTAGACAACTGTTCATTAATACTTGTTTCTTCTGGAGATTAGAATTTAATAGAAAAGAGAGAATGGATGCATCTGTACCATCCCAAACGATTATGACTAATGTCATTCAAAGTCTCTAAGCATCTGTTACGATTATGTCGCTGACCGCAACCCGGTAATTTACACCTGATAACATGTTGCTTAATCCAACTGTCAATAACTTCATAGACTGATACTATGTTTTGGCTTGGACGGCTCTAACTGTCTTCCACCCTAAGCTCATCGAGGTGGTTAGTGATTTGGCTTGCGTAACACATAATATCCTAACCACCTTATCAAATGAGGATTCCCTACGTCATCAGTCGTTTTTCCATCCTTGCCTGGAACCTAAATCCTAACCACCACATTGCTTACTCGGTGGTCACAGAACACATGACCAATACATCGAAGATCCCTATGATCAGCCGACAGTACCTGTTATCCTTACTTGTTCGCCAGGCTTCTCCATAGTGATGATTGAACCATGATATATTGGTCAGAACACATGCTTTTCTAATTCTTCTAAGACTTATCAGTTAGATAGATAGATATGTCACAATTATTAATAAAAAGTAGCATTCAACACAGAATATCACATGATGTGTAGATTATTGGTTTAGACCGGTTCAAGCACATGACTTTCTACTAATACAG